TAGAATCAAAAATTAAAAAGGAAAAAGCTCCAGAGTGAAGCATAGAGTGCATTGGGTTTTTTCTATAATAGAAGCGTTACAGTAGGTCCGACAAATTTTTTGGTACTTTTGGTTAAAGTTGAATTGTTCTTTATATTTGTTTATTTGCATGTCATTTGATTTGAATTTAAACTTTATCACTATTAACTTTATCCCTATTTTTTTTTTTTGTTTCAAGGATTGTTAAAGGTATTCAAGTTTTTAAAGTTTAAGTATTTTTTAGGTTATTCTTCATTAGAGACTGTGTCAGTCCAATCTTCTAAGTTTATTATATACATATTGCCAAAAAAAAAAAGGAAGGTTTTAATTCAAGTTTGATGTTGGAGCAAGTTGTAGCAGTTCGTTGACAACTTTAAGCAACTTGAAAGCTTGATCTTAGTTGTCTCTTGAGGTTCTTACTGCAGCTACTATCATGGTTGAGCATTACTAAGATGAATCTGATGGTATTTGTGTTTGATGCTATTGCTTTATTGCTATGTTAATAAAAATAGTAAATTTATGATTTTATCAGGAATTTCTTTCCTTTTATTCATAAAAGGTAGCATTTTTTTATACCTAAAAACTGTTATATACTATTATTATTTCCTAATAGAGTAATGTCTTTCGGGTTTTGTGACGAAGAGCTGTTCGAAAAATGTTTTAGGTTTTTTTTTTAAATTATAGTATATAGTTTAATGATGTATAGAGAATGTACGAGTTATGATTTTGGTTGTAACGAATCATTTTAATCTATTGATTTAAATTTTAAAAAACTTAAAATATTACAATTCAATATCTAAAAATTTTTTTATTTATTTTCGTTTTTCGAAATTTATAAAATATTATTGATAAAATCATAAATTTACTACTTTTATAATCGTAACAATAAAGCAGTAGCGTCAAACGCAAACACCATCAAATTCATCGCAGTAATGCTTAACTATAGTTGTAGCTGCAATAATAGCCTCGAGAGTCAATTAAATGAAGCTTTCAAGTTACTTAAAGTTGTCCCTTCTCCCTTCACATTCACCGCTTTCTCTCTTTCAATTTTAAAGACGCTTTCTAAGTCTACCATCGACCTTCATCTTTTCAGAATTTGACAACTTTTCGTCGTTGGCGCCACCCATCACCGTCGCCTGACACCCTCGTCGGTGCTAGGCTTTGGTCAAAATACACCAAAACATTCTTTATAACCTTATCTTTTCGTTTCTCCGCTCGATTTTCCCAAAAAAACAACAAATTAGCCTAGATCTAACCTCCAAAATCATAGTTTCAAAAGCTCAAAACACCATTTTTCGTCACTTCAATTGGCTCGAAATTTTAGTATTTTATTCTTATTGGCTTGTTGTTGCTTTTCATCATTTCAAAGTGCCGAATCCCCTTCTCGCCGTGAGCTGCACTACTACCGCCGTCAATGGTGGCTCCCTTTCTTTCCCTCCTTATTCTTATTCTTCTTCCACTCATTTCTTGTTGTAGCTTCCTCAAGTGAAGTCCTAAAATAGATCCCAAATTCCTCAATCCAAAAAAATCACTATTATATGTGTGCTTGCTGTTTGTGTAATATTGTTGACTTTTGGTGGTTGAATTGCTTGTTGAGTTGTTACCTTTGGTGGTTGGGTTGATAATTTTGAATCGTTGAAATTTGCATTTTTCGGCTTATCTTGTTTTCAATTTGTTGTTGAATTGTGGTCTGCTGGAGACTGCTTTGTGGATGTTGTATGTTCTATGCGTATTTTTATTTGATTGTCGTGTGATATTTTTTTTGCTAAAACCCTCTAATGCCCTCAATAATTGAAAAAAAAAAATATTTTCCATCGTTTTTGGATAGGTGTCACACAGGCATGATTTTCGGGACAAAAATATATATGTAGGATTCTAGTCTTTCATTTGCATATTTTAAACTTCCCTTCAAAAAATATTATCAAATAAAATGAGAAGACAAAAATTTTGAATTATATGAATATTTTCATTTTTACTAGATTGCTGCCCATGATTAGATTAGATTACTTTTACTTGGCAAAAGTTATTTTAGAGTAGACACTTGATAAAAATGTACAAAATTTTTGTCATTACTATGAACAAATTATACATATTTGTCCCAAAGAGTAACTTGTAATTTTTAATAAAAAACTAGTAAGGAGTGAATATAAGATATTAAACATTAAGTACATTTATTTAAAATTAATTAGGTTTGTGGATAATATAAATTAAAAAATGATTAAGTTCATAAAATAGTTAGAGTCTTGTTATTTAAAATAAAAAATTAATTAAAGAGTAGTATTAATTTGATTTATAAGTATTTATATCACTCAATAAATATGAATGTAAATTCAAAATATTAGGTACATTAATGCACAACTAATTGAATTCATAGATATCTTAAATTTATGTATAACTAAGTTTGTAAATAATTAAATTCATGTAACATAAAATAAAGAATAATTAAGCTCTATTTGTTTCTCTTGAATTGATTTTTAGAAAATATTTTTTAAAAAAAATGTTTACATTTTTTGAACAAATATAGATTTTTGTTGTTTAGATGAGTTAATGAAAAATATTTTCTGTTATTTGGTTATTTTTTAAAAAATTATTTTTTTCAAATAATATTAATATAACTTTAAAATAATAAAAATTATTTATTTTTAAAGTATATTGAAATTATTTATTACTAAAATTATTAATATTCAAGAATAATTATATTTTAATAATAATATTTAATATTAAAATATCATTTTAATATAAAAAACTTAAAATGAAACTATTTATTATTTTTATACTAATATTTTAAAATATTTAGAATAGTAATACTATTCTTAAAATATTATTTTTATTAATATTAAAATAGTAATATTTATTATTAAAATATTTATACTATTAAAATATTTATATTTTATATTGAAAGTATCTATTACTAAATCATAACAAAAAATTTTTTATTTATATTTATTATTAAAATAGTAATATAAATATCTTAATAAATAAAAATATAAAATTATATATTTTAAAATAAAAAAGAAATTATTAAAATTATTCATATTAAGAAAATAATAATAATATTATATTATTAAACATTACTTATTAAAATAATAAAATAATATTATTGATTATTATATAATATTAAAATAATAATATATTAATATTTATTATTGAAATACTGAAAATATTTATGTTTAATAATACACATAATAAAAATATTTAAAATTAAAATATCAAAAGACTTTTAATATTAATATTTTATTTTTTTAATTAAAATAAAATAAGATATTAATAATATTTTAAATCAAATCAAGTGGAACTTAATATATTATTTTCAAAGTCTTATTTGAGTAAAAAACTTTTAATATTAATATTTTAATTTTTAAGTCAAATTAAATAAAATATTATTTACAAATATAATAATATTTTAGGTCGAGTCAAATTAAGTTTCAACTTTAAAAAATTATGTATGAGATCCAACTTGAGTAAAATTATATTTAAATACATTAATAATTAATTTTACTCACAAATTTTTTTTTCAAAATTTATCTTTCCCCTTTCAAAAGGGTAAGATAGTTTTTAGAATAATTACTTTATTTTCTATAGATCAACAAGTTATTTTCTATTGAATAATCAATTTTCTATCAAATAAATATTTAAAAATAAAAACTTATCTTTAAAAAATTATTTTTTAAGAATTTTACAAACTTAAAATAATCAATAATCAATAATATAAAAACTATTCATAACTTCTACGTACCGACAAATGAACCTTCTCTACGAATAATTTTAATATAAATGTGTAAATTTAATTTTTTGAATTTAAAATATATATGTGCTTAATTTTTTTTACTACAACGAGATTTTCATTCTTATTATCCTTATTTTCAAATAAAAACATATGGAAAAGATAATTTGCCTCTTCTCCTCATCTCAACGCGGATCTTATGAAAGCTACGTTTATTTTGTAGAAAAATAAATTTTAAAAATAATTTCTTAATTGATATGTTTTTTTTATAGAATTGTGATCAATAAAAAAATAACTTATTAATTAATAAAAAAATTAAGATAATTTTTTCTAGCAAAAAAAAAAATTTATTACAGATTCGAGAAAAGAAAGATATTTGTTTTAAAAGAGTTGTCTATGAATAAAATTATTATTAAGAATTTTAAGAATAATTTTACTTATAAATAAATATTTATATTATAAAATAAATAATATTATATTATAATTATATTAAATAAATAATATTTTTAATACAATTATTGTAAATAATATCTATAACAATAGTATTAATATAATAATAATATGTATATTATATATTAAAATAAAATATTTAATAAATAATATACTATTAGTAAATAATATTATAATATATTAATTATAATAATTATTAATAATAATTACTATTAATATAATAATATTAATAAATAATATTGAAAAATAATATTATAATATATTAATAAATAATATATTATATTAATAAATAAGCATATTAATTAAATTATTATAATATATTTGACAAAATAATTAAAGAATAATAAAAAAAGTTTTATTTAATATTTTTATTAAACAATAATTTTAATATTAAATATAATATTAAAAATATAGTTATTTTCAAATATATTAATAATTCAATAAATAAAAAATAATTTATTTAACTTATCGAAACAATAAAAAAACTATTTCAATTTAGAAAAATAAATATTTTTTAAAAAAATATTTTATTTTAAAAATAATTTTTGCAAAATAACTGAAGTCTAAATGTATTAACATTTTTTTAAAATAATTGCTACAACCATTTTTTATCTACTATAAAAATCCAATATTTTCGAAAAGAAAAAAAGAAGGAAAAAGAAACTGAAGAGTGCTGTGGGAAGAAACGGAGACATAGATCGCGTAAGCTGTGGAGAGGAAAAGTACTGTAATCACAATTTTGCATAGCATACAATCTTGAACTAATAATGAGTGAAACGATGACCCATAACAACAAACAAAAGCTTAAGCCAACAGTGGGAGTACGTAAACCAACTTGTTACTCGCTCTCTCTCTTTTCTTTATTTTTTCCATTTATAATTACAACACAATTCTTCTCTCTCTCAAATAATTTTCGATCTCAATTCCTAAAAAATCTCAATTATAGGAAAAAAATCCAACCCTAAAATCCTCACTCTCTCTTTGCCTTCCCACACGGTACGCCTTTTTTATTCCTTTTCACTTCTCTCTTTCTTCCTCTATTACTACGGTGTTTGCTTCCCGAGAAAAATAAAAAAGAGTAAACGGAAAAAAAAAGAGAAGGATTGGGATCTCAACATCTGTCACTCTAACCTCAAAACCTGTTGTTCTCCAGTTTTACTTATTTTTTTTTCGATTTCCCGGAATCAAAGGGACAGTTTTGTTTTTTTTTTTTCTTTTAATTTGATTTTCGTTTAAGCGGCGGTAAAATTTGATGGGAAATTGGTGGTAAATATAATAGGTGAATTTTGTTGAAATAATACAAGAGATGAGCAAAGAACACCCGCCTGAGCCACTCGATTTCTTCATTTGGACTGTTGAGGTATTTCTTTCTTTTTTTATATATATATTTTTTAGTTTTGATTTTATTTGGATCCTTGTTCATGTAAAGTTTAGATCTTGAGTTTTTCTTTGTGTGAGATTTTAGTATTGCTATTTAAATGGGGAATTGTTCTAACTATGTTGTAAATTTTCAGTTGGAAGTTTTGATGGTGACATTTCTTCACTCAATTTTGATTAAATTGTTTTAAAAAATAATATTTAAGAAAAAAATGGGTGTTTGCTGATTGTCAAAAATTGCAATCATTTATTTATTGTAATATTTTGGTTTCTTTGTTTTGATTATTGGAAACTCTAAAAGTGAATTGAATTGACGAAAAAGGTGATAAATTTTTATTGCCTTTTACTCATGATCAAAATTGGGTATTGACTAAGGAAGTTTTGATTTGGTTTTCTTGTTGTCATTTTTTTATTTAGTGTTTCTCTATTGGACCATGTGTTTTCAATCTCTCTTTCACTATCTCCAGGTATAGAGAATATTCGTATTTTGATGAACAATCATAATTGCTATTGCCTCTGATTTAGGTGATTATGAGTCTGCCATCTTGTTTATTTATGACCTGGTTGCATTTCATCTGAAAGTGTTTGTTCAAGGTTGTCATTTTCGCCCTCTTTCTGTTGGGATGGTTGGAATGATTAGTTTAGTTATGGGGCTAGACGTGTTGATATTGTTTTGTGGTTATTCTATTTCCTCTATAGTAGTATAGTGTATGTTTTCTTATTACTACATATGTGGTTTCACGTTTGTAGCTTAGCGGAATCTTCTCTACTGTTCTTTTGGTCTGTGTCAAAACTTGCATTTGTAGAGACGAGCATCCTTATTGAAAGTAGTTTATGAAGGTCATTGTGAGGTTATTTTGAGTGGATAAATGAAGTTTCATATATCTTTGCTGTCCAACCTTAACAACATATTTCTGATCTGCTTGGAATGCCTTAATAACTTTTTGAAAGGTGCATGACAAATGTATTTATACGTCTTCGTCCTCCTTGGAAGACTTGTATGTGCTTGTTAATTAATAAGGCATTCCATGACTATGTTTTTGGTGAACCAATATAGCAACAAATGCACTTTGTTGTTGTGTAACTCTGAAGGATCGACATGGAGAAAATGAAAAAGCATTGAGTCTTTCTCTTCACCATTATCATTCCTTTCAGATGATGGAAACTGATAGTGATACATCCAATTAATCATTTTGAGTAACACATGAACCTCAAAAAATAAAAGTAGAATTAACATAGTAAATTGTGCATAAATTGAGCCATTACTAGCGAAAAATACCGCAAAAGTTGTTTACTTTATGATGTTAAGTAAACCAATAGTTCTTGGAGCCATTAGTCAAGATTTAGTAACATGTTTTACTCATGACTTTACCATGAAAAGCTTTTGATATGGACATTTGATTCAATGACATGCTTTTGCACTGCAATCTTTTTATTCTGGCAGGATGTTGGTATGTGGTTGGAAGAGATAAATCTTGGTAGCTACCGCCAGATTTTCAAAGAAAATGGTGTCAATGGGGAATACTTAGAAGGCATGTCTATGTTCACAACTGAACAGATTCTTCGCTTTATAAGGCGATGCCATATGAAGTGGGGAGACTTCATCACACTATGCAAGGAACTCAGACGAATAAAAGGTCTCTCTCTCTCTCTCTATCTATCTATCTATCTATCTACCTATAGGTGAAGGTTTTGCCTCTCTAAGTTTGGAAGTTCAATCTTTAAATTTGCTTGATTATTCCTTAGTGTTCTTATGGTAAGCGACATATTTCTGTTAGTAGTATTTCTTCAATTGCAGTCTATATTAAAACACAGGAGCTTTTATCTGCTGCATGCATTATTTGTCTAGCAGCCAGGCATTACAGTTTGCATCATTTACCTATGAAGCTGAAACATTTTGCCACTCTCATCAAAAAACAATTTCTGGTAACCAAGACTAGGAGCAGTGCCTTTTGTGTATGAATTGATAAAATAGGAATGCTGGTTGGTTTAGATTTATGATACCTGTTTACGTGAGAGACACTGGCTATGGCTGTAGTCTACGGTATGCCTTATCTTTCAAATGGTTTGATGATATTTGGATAGCTAGTCAAGAAAACAATGTCTTGCATGCATTCTTAAACAGATGGAGCTCTTCTCTGTTTGTTGTCTGCTTAAACAAGAGGAAGTCATTCTAAGAATTAAATATGCTTCTTACTAATTGATAAATTTAAAATGTATCCTTCAGTGGCTTGCCTAAAAGGAGAGCAAAAAGTTCGCAGGCCATGGTGGGCTCCTTCTTGCCTTTCAGCAGTCTTTGTGAAGGTGGCAAAGCGCAACAGACAGTCACGTGTTGTTTCCTTGAAGCTGGAAGCATGATTGCAAAATATGATTTTATGTACGTATATGTAGTTTTTCTTCTTGTTGAGGGAGCAAAAAGTAGGGAAAAACTAAACTTTTTTTCTTAAATCTCTCAAGGTGTTGCTGATAGTTCTTCCTTCAAGAACTCTTTTACATATACAAGCCTTTTTTTTAATATATTTCTGTTGATTTTATAGTGTTATATCATGCGACTTGTTCTATGAAGCATAGTACCATTTATGTTCATCTCAAGGAAATGGTGATATTTGGTTCTTTATTGAAGAACTTCACTCTTGGGCATTCTCTGCTCTTATTGCCTGTGAAAATTTTCAATAAAGTGTACAAATTGAAAAGCTTCTGAACAGTTGAACCCAAAGTGCTGCATATTTCCCTTGTTAACGGAAGAATTTATGCATAATACATGAAAATAATATGGTTGTGGAAAAAAATCTTTATTTGTATGTTTGGAATCTACATATTCATTGTGGTCTTTCTAGGCAAGGAGGTTTTGATGAATGATGGTGTGCCTTTCTTTCAGCATTCATGTTATCTGGAGAGAATCTGCTGTTTTTATCACAACTTAACTTGAGTTGGAACTTGGAAATTATTAATCGTGAAATGGTAACACTCCCGACTCTATTGGGTCTCCTACCAATTTAGGGGGTAATCTCATTCAGCTGATGTCCGGGATGTTCTTAACAAGATAAAGACTTGTTTTCTTAATCCTTAGCCGATTTTATAATGTGATTAGGCTTTGAACAAATTGGTAGGTGTTATCAAACGATGCTGACAGAACATAATAATGCACTTTATTTGTACCCAACGTGGTAGGCTAGTCTGGCCCTGGCAGGATCAAGAAAATTGTTGATTTCAACAATAAATTTTTATTCTGATAAAGAAAGAAACAACTCTCACCCGTTGTAAGAATTTTATTTCTGACCAACCATAATTAATTCATTTAGATTTAGTTGCTATTATTGATAGACTATTAAATTTTTAGTTTAAATGGTAAAAAAAAGTTGACAGTGTTTTGATGTTATTATTTGTTATTAGGGGAAATCATTTTTTACACCTTATGTTTTAAAAGTTAAAATTGAAAAAAAAAAGGACATTTAAATAAAAAATGGAAAGTATTAGAGAAATATCAAGAATTAAGTCTTAATTATCGTCTTAACTTAATTAATTACAAATATATTTATAATTAAAATCAAAATAGTTTACAAATTTTATTAAAAAAATTCATAAAAAAATATATATTCATATTATATAAAATATTAAAATTTATATATTTATATTATATTTTATATAAAAATATATATATTACTTATATTGATATAAAAATATATAATATATTTTTAATTTTATTAAATTTATATATAATTATTAAAAATTTAAATTATACTTATTTTATATTTATTTTCATAAAATTCACGTTACATCGTAATTTAATGTTCTTGCTGGGGGGATGGATGGGGTGCCGGGATCGTAACATTTTCGGTAATCACAGAAGGGGCTAAGCCCATTTTTCTGATCATTAACATACTAGAGCTAGATCCGATTTGACACGTGGCTGGATGATCTGTCTGACATGTTCAAAAGGATGGGTGAGTAGAACGGTAGTGGATGTAGGCACTATTTTGATCGGAGAGTTCCAAGTATTGGCCCGATCGGACGGTTCACATCGATCCATAATCGGAAAACCATGAGCTAGACCTCATGCGATCATCTCTCCCTTGTTGAATATAGACCTGCTCGTTGGATTATCCGTCTAAACCCGAAAAAGCTCGAGAAAGAAATTTTGAAAAGTTTAGATATAAATATTACACTTATTAAATTAGTTTGAATAAATAAATAATATTCGAACAAAAAATAAAATTAGATTTAAATTTCATTATTTAAGATTCGGATATGTTTTAGTTCAATTCAAAAATTACAAAATATTTTTTATCATAATTAAATAAAATCTGTTTGATATTTTTTTATAATAAACAAAGTCAATTTATTTTATTATTTATAATATGATAAAATTTATTTGTTATATTTGATACATAAAATTATGATCAAATAAAATAATATATTATTATAAATATAATTAGATTAAATAATATTATTTTATTTTATATTTGATATATATAAATATTAAGATAAGATAATTTATTTATTTGTCAAAATTATTTTTTCTCAAAATTTATATAATTTAAATTATTGATAAATTTTTAAATGTATAATTAAACATGTAAATTTAATTTTATGAATTAAAAATAATTTTTTTCACTTAAGAATGATTAAATAATTTTATACCAAAAAAAATATTAATCTTTCTTACAATTTTTATCTATCTCTTTAAATATAAATCAAATATAATATAATATAAAATAATTAATATACTATCTTATCAATAATTTATATATTAAATATGATTTTTTTTATAAAATAATAATATATTTTAAATTACATTTAATAAAATTAAATTAGACCCAAAATCAATAATTTATAAATTTAATTAAAATTAATTAAATTAATAATTTATAATAATTTATATTTTTTAAAATTTAAATACTAATACTTTTAAAGGGTTTAAATTTTATTATTATTTGTAAAAATAAATTTAGACAAAAATGAGATAAAAAAATTAGACTGAAACGAATTAGATCTGGACTTATTTAAAATATTAAAACGTCAAGCCAGACCCGAAGGCAACCCTGCCCATGAGCAGGTCTGGTTGAACCAAAATCATTCCAAAATTCTGCCAGTTCCGAAACGGCCCAAAAACCTCAGTCCCTTTGCACACCTAATGAAAAACCTCATAAACCCTAAACTTCTCCATTTATTCTTTTTCTTCTAAAGAGCAAAATTAAAACAAAATGTTCTCTCCCGGACTGAAGAGAAGCAAATTAAGCTCAAGGAAGGAGAGAAATGTAGGGCAAAATCTAACGGTACCGGATTCTCCAGCAACTCCACTTACTGAGAACCGTAAATCAGCGCGGCATGCTTCGATTCCCGATCGCCCTAGCACTGGCACTCCCGCTCCTTGGGCTCCTCGCTTGTCTGTTCTTGCTAGGTACTATTCGACTTTCCTTTTTGACCTTATTCATTGAGCTAGAATCTTATGATTTGGAGATAGTTGGAGTTGAATTTGACTTTCGGGTCATAATTTTGTCTTTGCATTTCGATTCGAAAAAGGTTTCTTCTATAAGTAATATTTCGAAATTAGGCTCCTTGAATTAAACTGAAGAAATGTGGGAATGTACCATCAAGAAGATGAACTGTCGAGTTTTAAGAAATGAAGAATCTATTGCTGGAAACTTTAAGGAGTGAAGGCTAGGATTAGTTTCACAATTTAGGTTGTTCCTTCTTGTGGATGGTGTAGTTTCACAATTTAGTTTGTTCCTTCTTGTGGATGGCGATATCTAATGGATGCAGGCGTGGTTGCGAATTGCAATCATGCTTTGTAATATTAGAAAATTTGAGTCTTTCAAGAAAAAAAGTGACTAGTGATTGGCCTCGCTCCCCTGTATTTCGTTAAAAATTTCTCGAGGAATTTATGTTAATGTCTCATTGAATAACATTTCCGACCAGCTTTTATGTGTTGGCTAAGCATGCTTTGGCTGTGATGCAGGATGGCTTACATTTCAACCTATACTATAATTTATGCCTTGGTGTAGGCCTGATCAGGATTATTGTTGAAATTAATAGAAAAGAATGGAGGAAAGAAAATATGTGGCTAGATGAGTAGGAGATTAGAGAGAAAGAATGGCTTACCCATAGGGTTAATTTTAGAACCACATCTAAACTTAAAGAGAAAGAATTCCAAACTCTAACCTGTCATTGAACCAAAGTAACCTCCTGAAGGATAAATGCATAATGGTTCCAGTGCTTCATTTCCTAGCAGCCAGCTAAAAACCAATTAACCTACTGAAATCCTTACTTTTTAAAAAATAAAAATTTGGAAATCTGAAAAAGAAAAGAGCTCTATGCCTTTGTACTGCTCCTGCATCAAGCTTTTGCCTTATAATGTTTTTATATATCTGAACAGGAGTTTATAAATTCACTTTCTTTCTGTGTCTTTGTGGCTTAAAGTCTTGGTTAGTACTATATTTAATCTTTTCGGTCCCCTTGTACCCAGAATTCCAACAGCAAACAAGAATGACAAAGGGGATGAAATAGATCCAATTAAGCCAGTATTTGTTGGAGAGTTTCCACAAGTTGTTCATGATGAACAGACCAGTTTTCTGCAGAGGCGTGTTCCTGGTCAGTATTGCTGGCTCCTATGATTAACTATTTACAGATCTATGTGATTGCTTTGAAAAAGCTAATTTGATGCTTCTGTGTAATTTGTGCCAGCTGACGTTTGTATATCGGGTGGAATGGATAAGGGAACATGCCTATCGTGGATTATATGTGGAAACAAAATTTTTATCTGGAGTTATTTGTCATTCCCAGCTTCAAAGAAATGTATTACTCTTGAACTTCCTTCTGATGTTTTAGAAAATGCAGATCTTGGGAGAAATTCTTATCACCATAATAATTGGTTGCTTTCTGTTGTCAATTGGGATAGCACCTCAAAAGTAACAAACAGAGTTGCGAAGCATTGCTACTCTGCTGGTATTGTTTTGTGTAACCAAAAAACTCGAGCTGTTTTATACTGGTCTGACATCTTTGCTGATATGGGAACTGCTCCTGTTACCTCTTCTGCATCTTCTGATGAATCATTGGTGACTTCTTCACCTATAGACGGCAACCCCACCCCAAACAGGCAGCAACAACGTGATAGGCATGGAATGAATTTTATTGATTCAAGCTCTTTCAATTCTTTGATTGCTTCTGCAATTCCAAGTACCCAAAATGCATGTGTTGCCCTTGCGTGTTGTTCCAGTGGTGAGCTAGCAATTTTACTGTAACCCCAGTGGTATTCGGCGTAATAAAGTCTATCAGAACATACACAATTTATCATCCCAAGGCACTGGTATTGGTCAACTTGTTGGGAGTAAGGGATATTCGAGGTCAATGATATGGCGTCTTCCATACTTTTTCTGTTTCAGACTCTAACCGGCAATTTTTTCTGCTGACAAATCGTGAAATACAGTGTTTTTAACATCAAATCTTTCCTGATTTAGAGGTATTCAAAGCTTTGGTCTCAGGAAATTATTGGTAATGATGGTGATTTGGGTATTAAGA